TCGGGAAGAATTTTTTACGGGAAATTAACAAACGACCAGAGACGTAACAATAGATTATCAGTAAACACTACAGGGCATTCGTCACAAAGTATTAGGCATTTTAAATAAGTTTTAACATTTTTTAATTAATTACTTACTCGTGCAATTTTTATTTTCGAATGTTAACTGTCCACCATGTTAAGAAATTTTGATTTGAAGATTAGAAATATCTTTATGTATCAGAAAATTTTCAAATTTCTTATGAATTAGTGCGCTCGATTTGTGAATCCGAGAATTCACAGTTCGCGCCTCGTTGCCGAACAAACTGTGCTCCGCTTCTTGGGGCCGTGACCATACAGTAGTCTATGAGTTGGTGTTTGGAGCTGTTGGCTAGCTGCCAACTCTACATTTTATCAGTTGAATCTAAGGGGGCGATTATGCATATATAGCCCTAAACAAACAGACAAATGAAAACTCACTGTTACAATGATGTCATCATATGTACTTCTTCCAGATTTTTTAACCTCCAACACTTTTAGCACATTTTAGCGAGTCAAAATAGTTAAGACAGCTGCTACTCATACTTTATACCAGAGTGACGTAAAATAATTTTAAACCAACAATAGTGTATGGAGTTGGTGGAATCGAACCCCGATTTTTAGCATTAACGCTGACCCACTGGGAACGAATTTATGAAAACGGCATGTTCTTTTCCCCTTCTTTTGTACTTCGAGAATTAATATTCAATGTGTGTCTTACTTTCCATGGTTCTTGTCTTATAACATCTGGGTGAGGTTAAATTGTGTCGCAGTATTATCAGATTTGCTCGGTTACATCGTGAATCAACTTATTCTACTTCCCAATGTGCACTCTCCAAGATTTCCTTTTACAATACCTGCATATAACATATAATTTGTTTATAGTGCTTTCTGTTGGGAATAATATCAATTAAAATTTACACATACATCAATGTAATATAACATATACTATTCATGGATAAGCTTTTTTTTCAGAACAATTACGAGATATAGCTAAGTAGTGTTATTATTGCTACATAATTATTCAATTGCAACCCCAGGTAAAATAACTATTTAATATAATATGGACCCTCTGTATAATCACATATTAGTTTTCGTAACCTTAGGCCTGACATGGCGTAGTGGTTAGAGCACTCGACTCACAATCGTGTTATAGGTCGCTTTCTGGGTGGTCCTGGTGCTCCAAGTTGATCCATATTCTTTTTTTTTCCTGAGCCTATAATTATTTAGGCATATGTATGCAAGTTGGGTTTTCTGGGTGAGGGGAACAGGAAATTGTATTGGCGCTTTATGGATTTGGAAAAAGGATACGATAGGGTGCTATGATACAGCAGAGAATTTGGTGAGGATAGTGAAAATAATGTATGATATATCAAAGACAACAAAAAATATGACAAGGAAGAAATGAAGCGTTCAAATTAAATGAAGGTCTACATCATGGATCGGCTTTAAGTTCTTTCCTCTTTGTGATAGCGATGGGTGTTTTGAGTGAGGGATCAAGAAGGAAAAATGGTTTGGGACTTTTTGTTTGCGGACTATTTGGTTATAACACCCGAGAAAGGGAAATAGTTGCAGTAAAGGTGCAAGATGTGGCAGACAAATCTAGAGAGAGGTGGGTCAAAGGTAAATACCAGAAAAACAGAAGTAACGATAAGCAGTAGAGGGGAAATAGTGGAGTTAGATAAAAGAAAGTAGCAACCTTAGGATTATCAGTGTTGACAGAACAAGAAAGCCTAAATGAAAAATCTATATTGCTAGAAATATATAACTCTTAAAATATCCTTACGTTCCATGGTTCTAGTCCTCTAAAACCTGGGTGAGAGTAAATTGTGTCAACGTATCGGATTTGTTCAGTTGCATCGTGAATTAACTTATGGTACTTTCCAATGTGCACTCTCCAATACTTCCTTTTAGAATACCTGCATGTGACACATATAATATTCAAACACACGTAAATATACAATATAAAACTTCGACCATACACTACAGCTCTCAATTGACTTTAGAAAGAATATGGATTAGAACGTGATCAAATGTTAGAGCCACAATGCTGTGCCATTTTGTCTTTTATATGATGTTTTATATTATGATAATTCATTTAAGTTAATAAAAACAGAGCCCAAAAATAAGACTGAAAGACGTGATCATTACGTATATTTGAAATTATAAAGACTTTATTTTCAAAAACAGAAGCTAAATGTAAATGTAGGTTAAAATGTTTTGTAAGCTTTTGGTTTGTACAACTTAAAGGCCTGAATGTAGAAATGTGTAACACAAAAGTAACATTAACCATGAAACTTTAAAATGATATATTGATTAAGTCTAACTAATAGCTAGTTTGGACAGTATGTTATTCATAATTGTTTAGAAACAAACTGCTTATGAAAAACATTTTGCAACACCCATAATTTACTAGTTCAAGTTTCAAAAAATAAATAAAGGTTACACATAACTTCACTAATAGATAATGTTTGTGTTCTTTGCCAACTGGCCGGCTCGTATGGTAGAATGACTTCACTTGGCTGCTGAGGTAAAGAGAAAGCTTTTCAAAAACATCAGCACAGGATAAGGACAAGATAAAGAATAATCACGTCCACACAGGATAAGAACAGAAGCAAGAATCGTATAATATCGCACTTTCAAATCATACAAAGGTCCTAATGCAATATCCATCAATCCTTAGATTACCTACATCAACAAGTATCCTAAATAATATGTACGAGACAGACAACTCCAACTCATATCAACTTGTACAAATATCTGTACTACCCCTTGAGACGGTATTCCACATAAGGAGAGGACACACACACAAAGCCATAATTCCACGATATAGCCGTTGTCACAAGCTACCTTTACCTAAGCAAAAGAATCAACTCATGTTTGCGACCTTTCTACATCAGTTAATGCAGATGTAATAATTAGATACAGAACACCTACCTGAACATTTTTAAAAATTACATGGATATGCCTTACTAAAGATATGTTCCAAACTATGACATACTTAGGAAAAAAAGAGAATGGAAGTGCAGCTAACATGAAATTTAGTGAATTTACAAACAACATCAATAAAACATCTGCAAATAAACACAGTGACAATTTCAATAGCAAAAATCAAAAATTTACTGCCACTTGTAAATAATTATCATAATATATTTTTCACAAAAAATATCGGCCACTGACTCATCAAGATGTTTTTATTTTTGAGCAGTAACATTTATTAACCCTCAACGTTACATCCCCTGGCTAATGACTTATAATGCTTAAATTCACATAAGAATATAACAGCACAAAATGTCCATTGTGCAGTTTTGCTCTTAAACAAAAAATTAACCTACAAACTCGAATTACTTTTAAGATTACCTGCGAAAGCAATGTGCAGCAGTTAAAAGCCACTGAGGATTAATGATGGCACCACCACAGAAATGACCGAATGGTTCGAGTTTCCAAATTCGAAGGGAAACTTGCCAAGGCCAGCTTCCAGGAATGGCATCACGACCTCCAACAATCCGTTCATTTCCAAGAGCAGGTTTGATATCTGGTTGTCCACAGGGCATGTCGAAACTTGAACTTTGACCTAGGTATTTCAAATAAGACATAACATTTTACTTCACTCTTAAACTAAATAAATAATGTTTTAGCCAAAGATGTGCAAAAGCATTCTATACTTGTTCCCATGTATATATATATATATAGAGAGAAGAAAAATGATTCGTTCATGAACCACTTGGTGTAATGGGTTTGTTTGTTTGTTTGTTTTTGAATTTCGCGCAAAGCTACACTAGGGCTATCTGCGCTAGTCGTCCCTAATTTAGCAGTGTAAGACTAGAGGGAAGGCAGCTAGTCATCACCACCTACCGCCAACTTTTGGGCTACTCTTTTACCAACGAATAGTGGGATTGACCGTCACATTACAACGCTGAAAGGGCGAGCATGTTTGGTGGGAGGGGGTTCGAACCCGCGACACTCAGATTGTGAGTCGAGCGCCCTAACCACCTGGCCATGGGATCCAGCCATTTCGTTATCGCCACATTGTTACTAAGACAACTTGTGACGGGTGCATTATTGTTACATCATTTTTGTGACAAGGCAGTTCTTGTTACCAATACTGATTTTGTGACAGGTAGTGTTTTAAATATAAAACTTATTGGTGAAAATAATCAAAAATGATAATAGATCGTAAACTGTACAATCATTTGGGGACCATTCAAAAATTGCATAACGCTATGTGGTGAGAGGTGTCTAAGCCTGTGTTACAATGTGTTATTGGGAGTAGGGTGTCATGAATAGTGTTACATAAAACATAAATTACAGTGAAAACGATTTAGGTCTACAAAAACATTTATTATAATTTGATATACTTTGAATTGAATTCAAAACACCTTTAATAACTTGAACATTTGCAAATTTGTATCATAGGGGTTAGTTAGTAACAAAATTCACCAATCACAAAAAAACGATGTGACGGTAACTTGGATGCCGTAACGAAATGTTTTTCGTTAAAAAAAATATTTTCATGTCATATGCTGTCCGTAACAAAATGTTCCAGATTCAGCGTAATATCAACAGATGTTGGCAAGATTGTTTATTGGAATAAAGTTGTTGGCAAGTAGAATTTTTAGCCATCTTTTATTTCAGCTTTCAAGTGGTATCAAAGTTCAGGACGCTGTTTCACGACTATGTATTTGAGCCGAATTTCCATTTGTTGTTTTGTTAGTCTTAAACACAACGTGACAACTGAATGCAAGCATTACGTTTCTTCTATAATTTATTTAAATTTAGAACTCTAGCCATCACGAGATTACACATTGATATTAATTTTTTTAAATATTGTTATGAGCTATATTTGTTTATTAATATTTTAACTTTGATGTTAGCTGGATCGAAAAATTTAATAATGTAGTCCTAGAATGTTCTAAAAACTTTGGCGTCAAATGTACTAGTAAACTCAAGAATTAGATTAAAAATATCAGGTCTAGGTGGATCGATCAGCCGTGAAGTTATACAAATCAGTTTATTTTTGTGTTAGTGTGGTACAGTTGGTGTGGCTGTAAATGTGGCCTACGAGTTAGTTACCTCGGTGTTTAAACTTGTAGAAGCGTAAAAGATGAAATAAACTAATTAGTTATCATTATGTTGACTGAAAATTAAATTATTTACACCAAATAATTGAAAATCACCTGCCAACGAAAGAACAACGTTACAACAATACGTTTGTTGACAATAGAAGAGTTATAAATTTTATTGAACCTTTAATTAAAAACTTCTAAAGATTTATATTGAAACATAACTAGATTGTATAACCAATTGAAATAAATTATTATATTCAAAATTATGTAGAAACTCGCCAAATAATAAAAGGGAAATATCTGGTTATCGAAAACTAGCTCAGTTTTTCAAATTATATAAAAATCGGAAAACGGAAATTATAATTATTGTCGATAATTTGGTTCGTACCTTTTGCTATATCATTATGTATTACGTATAGCGTAGGGCTATAAATAGTCTGTTTGTAAGTAAAGTTGTTTGTTTGTTTGTTATGAATTTCGCGCAAAGCTACACGAGGGCTATCTGCGCTAGCCGTTCTTACTTTAACAGTGTAAGACTAGAGGAAAGGCAGCTAGTCATCACCACCCACCGCCAACTCTTGGGCTACTCTTTTACCAACGAATAGTGTGATTGACCATCACATTATAATGCCCCCACAACTGACAGGGCGAGCATGTTTGGTAGGACGGGGATTCGAACCCGCGACCCTCAGATTGTGAGTCGAGCGCCCTAACCACCTGGCCATGCAGGGCCTTGTAA